AGCAGGACTTCAAAACAGAGGGCCTTTCTGTGGGTTCCGTGGCTACACACCCTGCTATGGATGCTCTTAGCTGCTATTCTAACCAGTAGGGAAGCCCTAGCAATCATAGGATACAGTTTTCAGAAGAAAAGCAGTTTTCCTAAGGACAGCAGGTCTTCGTCAGAAACACCTGCAAGTGCTTTCCTGCCATTCCTATGTAAGAGCAGAAGCTGCAACACAGGCAGGATATGCGTCTTTTGATAGTTTCTATCAACTAAGCAGACAAAATAGTATAAGAAATCTCTACACTTGTGTATTCTCAGGAGCAGTGCTGCCATCGTGGACAGCACGATGAAACCGAGCAGAAGGGCAGCTGACACAAGGGCAGCCAGATCATAGCCAGAAGCATGGTGCATTTAAGATCCAGTTTATATAAAATACTGCAGAGGAACTCGCACATTCCAACCAGCCAATTTTAGCTAGTAAAGAAACCATGTCATGTGAAATACAACAAAGATACTACCAGTTATTAACCCAGGGACCAGCAAATGCAGGATTTTGCTTCAGGCACTTCTGCAATCATTATTCTCTTCCTTGCCGTGCAGAGTCAGTCGGTAACACTATGGTCATGATCAGAGGTGAGGGTGACATGCTGTAAGGTTCTTGTGTCTTCTTCTCAGGAATTAAGCAGACACGATGGCTTATCTCCCAGTTAGCACAGACTCTGGGGACTGGGGCCCAGTTTAAAACTTGTCAGCTTCCCTCCTGCTTTAACTTTAAAGCACTAAAGTACACCTAATACTGTAACAACCGTAACAGATGTAGTGAGTATAGTATTTATAGCTGTCAGCTCTACCTTGACAGATTGAAAAAGCACATATATAACATTTTGTTAAGTTTGAGAAGACTTGTGCTTTAAACAAATTAGGACCTAAATATCTTGTAACACTACATGCCAGGGCTGGATGCAGCCACGACAGGCACTGCCCTCACACCAGTGTGGCACACAGCCCGCTGCTCTGGTCACTTCTGCCCGGTGGATCCAGGGAGAAAACGAGAGGAGGGAACTATAGTCCTACAGCTGTTCTTCTACCTCTCATTCCTCCACTAATTCTACCTCTTTATATAGGTTCATAAAAATAAAAGCAAATCCTTAACTCTCCCATAGGGTGTTGGTATCGCTTCCCCTCTTAACTACCACACCTTATTAAGCTTGGAAAGCACAGCTGGAAATTACTTTTTAAGGACCTAAAATACAGACTGCCTGCTGAATCCTCTTCTTGAACAAAAATATTATATGTCACAGCAGAATACACTGAGCCCTAGGAATCAGTGACATTTATAAGCTATCTCAGCCTAACAAAGGGTTAGAACTTCATATTTCTTAAAAATATTTTTGTCATTATAATTCCAAATTTTTTGGTTTACTAATTCTGAGCAGCTTTTTTAATCTACTAGCTGAGATGCTGCTTCAAAATGTGGTTTTTAAACCAACATTTCGCAGATAGTTATGTAATAGGAGTTTAACAGAGATAAATCCGATATGCACGTAGTACATTAGGTAGAAAAAACAATAGTTTGAGCAACACGGTTAGCTTTTCATAAGCTAAGTGACTCAACAATGTAGAATCTTTCTATCACATGATTTTATTTTTTAAATCACACTGTTCTGTAATAATATATAATGAAGACAGGAAAAAATCTGAATTAAAACTCTCTGTAAGTACTAAATTTTCTTTTG